ATATGGCAACTATGGGAAACTTGCTTTATTTTTTGTATGCTAAGGAAGGTAAGTGGCTTGATGATTGCCCATAACAACTGTCAAAAGGCCACAGAAACCGTTCAGCACTGGGACACGGAGCTGCATTGCTTGATTCTGCAGGCTGCATATCCAAGACTAGACGTCATCCTCATACATACCAGCCCTGAGGAAACAGTTTCTTGGATTTGTTTTCAAGTAAAACAAGATACTGAGCTTTGTTCCTATGTCAAAGAATAAGAAACTCTCCTATTAGCCTTTACAAATCAAGACAGTCAAACAGATCTGAAGTAGTAACTCACATCTAGGGCTCAACCAAAGTAATCCCCTACAGGGATTAGAAGAATTTCCCCAAATGTTTACGTTTTATTAAATTCAAAGTTAGTTCATTGGCACCTACTATTAAAAGCAACAGCAAATGGCGAGGTGCAGTGGCTCATGCCTGTAATTCCAACAATTCAGGAGGCTGAGGCAGGATAGCTTGAGCCCAGGAGTTTGAAACCAGCCTGGGCAACATAATGAGACCTTGTCTCTACAAAAAAAAAAAAAAAAAAAATAGCTGAGAGTGGTGATACACACCCGTAGTCCTAGCTACTCAAGAAGTTGAGGGGGAAGGATCACTTAAGCCCAAGAGTTTGAGGCTGCAGTAAGCTATGATTGCACCATTGCACTACAGCCTGAGCAACAGAGTAAGACCCTGTCTCTAAAAAAAGAAACAAGAAAAGTCACAGAAAATGACCACACACTTACACTTTGTAAAAATTAACGCTGCCTATGCATTTTTGGCAGGCTTGTAGGTTATTTTTCTCAGACCTAGATATGCTGGGATAATACAGGGTCAGCCCCTCCAGAAGGCAGAACACTAGACTCCATCATATCTAGAAGCCTCAAAAGTCCCATGACCCTAGTCAGCTTTAACTGTTGTCTTTTCCCTCATCTCTCCATCTAAGCAATCTGCAAATCCCACTGTCTACCCCTCCTGAACACCTCCAGAACCCATTCTCCTCTTCCAAGTTTGTTCCTGCAACCTTGGTCCAGGCCATGATTATCTCTCACTTACACTGCTACATCCACCTTGACCTTCACTGGTGTCTCTGACTCCAGACTTTAACCTTCCCAAACCAGTCTTCCTATTAACTCAGGCCTGATCATATCACTTCACAGCATAATATTTTTGCATGACTTCTCATTGCCCTCAAATAAAGTCCTCATTCCTTGACAGGACCTAGAGGACCCTTCACCCTCAGCCCTGTATTTCACATGGCATACCACCCTCAACCCCAACTCTCACTGCCCTAGAACACCTAGCGCCCCAGCCAGGCTAACTACTAGATCTCTCACCCCTGGCCTTTGCACGTGGTGTTTCCCTGGCTAGATCACATATCCCCTTCTCCCCTTTATCTGAATAACCCCACTCATCCTTCTGGCCTTAGGTTTGATGTTACCTGCTCTGGAGAAACATCCCTGATCTTCTTGACCCAGTTAGATATTCCTTTTCTGGACCCCACAGTGTCTGTGACATGAAATTGCCCATTTCCTGTCTTCCCTACTAATCCATAAGTCCTTTCCAGTCATGGACTGTGTCTTGGCTCCCCCAACACTTAGCAAATGACCTGACACATAAAAGGCATTCAATAAATACTGATTCAGTCAGAAGCAATATCAAGTGTTCTTGGTTTGCTGAAGATAGAATCTCTAGTCATCCTCAACCTCCTTGGCAAAGAACCAATCAAATCTTCGGGATCTGATTGGTTCAATCACAAAACCATTTCCTATTCTTCCTCCTCTCCTTTATCTCCTACATAAAGGGGGAAATAAAGGAAAATGACCATTGAAGCTTTGGTATCAAAATTCCTTTTTGGAAGACAACTTATAATTTCCTATTTTAGTCTGTCTGGTCATGAAGAAGTCTGAACTACACAAATGCTGTGGCCATGTCATGAGACATAAAATTAGAGAAATGATTCAAATGCTTTGGTCCCTTCCTTTATTTCGCTGCTAATTAGGAAGAGAATATTGAGATGGGCATGACACTGGTTAATAAAAAGCTCAGCTTCCTGAACTGATGCCAGGTTTATTCTGAGACTAGAGCAGATGATCTACCCACCTTAAAGGTAATAAAATAATCCAAGTGGGTACCCACTTTGCCTGACACTTTGCTTGCACTCTGTTCCTATACCCATAAACTTTGAGAAAAAAGATAACAGGATTTTCCCCCCACAGATAATTCTTCTGTTTCTACTCCTCAGTTCCTCCATCCTTAACCCACAAAAGGTTATACCTCTCAGCAACATCCATCTGAAGAATTTATACTCTATATTACAAATTATTGATGGTTATCACTTATATAAGTGATCTTTTCCTGCTGCTTCTAGAAAAGAGCAAGTAGGATATTTGCTTTACTCGGTGGACTATGTAAGTTTTTTTACATCAATTTATTTGTGCTTTTACACAAACTAGAACATGGGAGCAAATGATTTGTTTCTTTGTGCTTTTGCTGCTACTTACTGAGGGAATTCCTTCCTTCCTTCCTTCCTTCCTTCCTTCCTTCCTTCCTTCCTTCCTTCCTTCCTTCCTTCCTTCCTCCCTCCCTCCCTCCCTCCCTTCCTCCCTTCCTTCCTTCCTCCCTCCCTATCCCCTTCCCTTCCCTTCCCTTCCTTTCCTCCCTCCCTCCCTCCCCTCCTTCCTTCCTTCCTTCCCTCCTTCCTTTCTCTCTTTATCCTATATGCACATGATAGAAATTTGGGTTAATTAATAGGGAGTTAGATATACCTATTACCCCAAATAGGACATTCCCAATGCATTTATATTACAGTGGCTTGCAAAATAAATGCTGGGGTTTTCTGCATGCAGAAATTAAGCAACAGGATTATGTTTCCAGCTATGTTAACTGCCAGTCTATAATTATCAGAGCAACATCTCTCTGCAGTTCATCTTCAGCTTATCAGTCTAGGAGTGCTAAATGTGCACATGTAGGATTTTTATTAAGTCAGTACCATTATTTTGCTTTCAAATTATTTCCTGTTCCTAGAAGTTTATATTCAGTCATTTGAAGACTGTGCAATTAAAGAAGATATCTAACTGAGCGCTTAAGCTCATTTAAAGTAACCAAGCACCTTTCACCTCCTCATCCATCTTGGACTTCAATTCCCCACCCCCAGCAATGTTCATTCTAACTAATATGAGATAATTTTATTTGATGGAGAAGATGGAGGCAAAATGGATTCATGTAGCTTTATGGTCCCTTCTCCTGCTAATGATCTTCCTCATTTGTATTCTTCTCCTTGCTTTTCTCTATATTTTTTCAAGCATTGGTCCATTCTGAACTTTGGCATCCTCCAGCACTTGCTAACGTTTTATGCCATTTTTATATTTGCCTTGTATTATGATTTTCCTCCATCTTCTTCTACCATATTCTTTCCTAGTAACCATACCTTCACATACCCTAAAGGGAAGAGATTTTCTTTTTTCAGTTGTGTTCCTGCCTCTTCAAATTCCTCTGTGGTCATAAAAAAGCCTCTCTTGCCAAAATGTCATGTAGCTATAACCTTGCGCCAAATAGCACATCTTGTTTCCAAAAGCTGTTTTTTTTGGCAGCTGGTAGGAACATGGATTATTCATATCCACAGAAATCACAATGCCTGTGGAGGATTTGATTCTTCTCCCCTAGGTTGTGGCTGTGATTGGAAATAAGGTGTCTCATTTGGGCTTCTGCAGGAAGAAGACACCTGGAGGCAGACACAGAAGGAAGAGCGAGGTATTCAGTACGCTCCACGCACTCTATATAATTTTCTGATACCAGTATAAAATGTTTTGGCTTTTAACGTTTAGCCTTTGGGGGAAAAAAATCATAAAATGAAAAACCACTTTTAATTGACTCTTCAAAAATTACTTTAAATGTGTTCTAAAACTTGGCTTTAAAATTTCTTTATACAGTTTTGACCTACGTTAAGAGATACAGGTACTTTAAGAAAGTGTTTCTGGAAAATTGTATTTGAGGCAGTTTATCAGCTGAAGCCATGGCTAAGGCATTGCTAAGGGAATCTGTTACCCTGGGATACTAATTAACTCCAAATATTGCATATAAATTAAGCTAGCAGCTACTGAAAGAAACAGCTTATGGGAAAGAAAAAACTAAAGAGGTTGGAAAGAAAAGCACTGTCTTTTCTAATTAGAGAAAAAGACATCAGGGGTATGGGAGAAACCCTTTTCTCTCCATCCCAGCCTTCTATTCTTTTTCTAGTAGCTTCCATCCTTTTCTCTTTCCTTTTGTTTTCCTTTCTCCTTTCTCCACAGCAGGTATGATTTATTGGTAGCATGACCAGGAAAAGTGTGTCTTCCCACAGGGGATTGCTCTCCTTGTCTCTTTTGTGTGTGTGTGTGTGTGTGTGTGTGTGTGTGTGTGTGTGTGAAGAACATTTAATGTGAGATCTACCCTATTAACAAAAATTTTTGTTTTGTTTTGCTTTTTGTTTTTGTTTTTGAGACGGAGTCTCACTTTGTTACCAGGCTGGAGTGCAGTGGCGCAATCCTGGCTCATGGCAAACTCCACCTCCCGGGTTCAAGCGATCCTCCTGCCTCAGCCTCCCAAGTAGCTGGGACTACAGGTGCACTACCACGCCCAGCTAATTTTTTGTATTTTTAGTAGAGATGGGGTTTCACCGTGTTAGCCAGGATGGTCTCCATCTCCTGATCTCATGATCTGCCTGCCTTGGCCTCCCAAAGTGCTGGGATTACAGGCGTGAGCCACCGCACCCGGCCCTCTTAACAAATTTTTTAACTGCACAGTATGATATTGTTAACTATAGGCACTATGTTATATAGCAGAGCTCCAGAACTTATTCATCTTGCATAACTGAAACATAGTTAATCAACATCTCCCCATCTTTAACTTTGCCCAGCCCCTAGCAAGCACCATTTTGCCTCTGCCCTTATGAGTTTGATTATTTTGGACACCTCAAATAAGTGCAATCATGCATTTGTCCTTTTGTCACTAGTTTATTTCACTCAGCATAATGTTCTCCATGTGTGTCCATATTGTCACAATAACAGGATTTCCTTATTTCCTATGGCTGAATAATATTCTACTGTATGTATATACCACATTTTCTTTATCCATTCATCTACTGATAGATATTTAGGTGTCTCCATATCTTGGCTATTGTGAATAATACTGCAATGAACACGGGAGTACAGATACTTCTGCGAGATCCTGATTTCTATTCTTTTGGATATATGCCCAGAAATGGGATAGTTGGATGATATGGCAGTTCTATTTTAATTTATTGAGGAATCTTCATACTGTTTTCCACAGCGGCTATCCATTTTACATTCCCACCCACAGTATACAAGGGTTCCAATTTCTCCACATCTTCAGAAACAATTGTTATATTTTGTTTTATTGAATAATAGCCATCCCAATAGGTGTGAGGTGGTATCTCATTGTGACTTTAAATGACCTTGTCTCTATCATAAAGAAATTGTTCTCTAGATAGATCCCTCCTAGCTGTGTTCTCAAGCTTGCTGGGGCACAAATACCCCAAGCTCCTTTCCTGGAGATTCTAACTCATCGGGTATGGGGTAAGGCCTTCAGATCGGTATGTTTCACAAGTGTCCCAGGTGATTCTTATGAGCCTACAAATTCTGGAAACACTGCCTCTCCCTCCGAGAAGAAGACGTAGTCCCTGCCCCTGCAGTGGGATACCGGCAGTTCTGGCTGGGTAAACTCAGTCCAGTAGGGACGGTGTTCACAACTGAAGCTGTAGGAATTGGCTCTCCTTTCCAGACAGCTTTATTAATTTCACTATTAAATGTTTTAAGCCTAGTTGTTAGAATAAAAAGTTGACTTTCTATTTTAATTTGCAAATATAAGCATACTTATCACTTATTTTGGGTAAACCTACAAGTGCCTGATTTACTACTTTTCATCTGGACCACTGTATAATCACTGGCCAGCACTTCCATCTGGTAGCAGCACCCCTAATCCCAGGTTTTGTTTAAAATATGATAACCTTTTCTGATCCTCTTAATAATCTAAGCCAAACACTGAAAATCATTATTCCATAGCCACCAGCAGCAAGGAAAACGGCCAAAATAAACATGTCATTTGTACCATCCACCGCCATCCACTCAATCCAGATGTTTAAATGGGTTTGTACAGAAATGTACTCTAAGTATATGCTTTTCCTTTAAGAAATCATGTTTCCCAAAAAGGATCACAGAGATATTGTGTTAAGCCAAAATTCACATACATGTCATCCTCACAGACCTCTGAGAAATGAAAATATGGGTCTGTTATTTGGGAATTTATTATACTGCAATTTGAAAAGTAAACCTATTAGCCATGGTTTAGTTAAGACTATAGATTGAGTAGCCCAAGGCAATAATGGCCATTAGCATCACCCATGTGCTACTCAGTTAAGTGGCCTATTATGTATTCTCAACAAATAGTCTGTGAATAATACAAAGACAGTAATGCCACACCACGCTCACTTACTCCCAACCTTAGAAATACTTATAGCAAAGGGATGCTCTTAAGAAAAGGAAAACATCCCTTATGCAATATCAGGACGTCTCTACTCATGAAATTACAAATCACTTCTGAGTGCCATGGTTCTGAATTCTGTTTTTAAAATCTGACCTTGAGCGAATTTGCCAATTGCTAACTTCTATTGGACTGTACAGAGCTTTTCACTTCTCTTGATCAATTTCACACATTTGCTTACATCTCTTGACAAAAAGAGTTAAAATTATTTGATGAAAACGTTCTTGCAAGCCAGCCATTTTTCAAAAACGGATTCTAGGAAGGTTTCTCTATTGGTTCCATAGAAGTGATACTTCAATTTATGACTGTAAAGGAAATAACTGAGATAGGGAAGGAAAGAACTTGTATGAGTAAGAGAGAAATTAGAAAGGCATCATTCATTTAACAAAGATGGAAACTCACATCAAATGTTCCTTGACCAAGCAGCTATTTCCTTAGAACCTTTGTTTTAAAGAAGGACTCTGAAATATCACTGCTTCCTCCAAAGTCCATGAAAAGGGTACTGAATTGAAGATAAGGGTGCATGGCTCTGGGTCCAAGTGGGTTCTCACGCTGATTCGCTTTAGGTACAACTTTGGAAAATCATTTCACTTCTCTGCTTCCGTTCCATCTTCAGTCAAATGGGAGAATAAAAACATATGTCCTACCTCACATAGTAGCTATGAGGAGTAACTGTGCAATTTTTCTTGAACATAGTAGACAAGTTCTAATAAACCCCAAGTTCTCCACAGTGACAGCACTATTAATAAATAACCTTTATTCTTCCATATGAGCCAAGTCTTTACCCCAAAACTCAACTAACTACAAGTCCTCAATTCCTAGATTCAAATAGCGCATTGCAGTATCCTATTTTGTATAGGGCAGGGAATTACATTCCAAGGGAGATGAGAAATGATCGAACATAGTTTAACATCCTCATAGCGGGGTGCCCTGAGAGAGGCTGGTTTCCCATGAGCTCTGTTGTGCACCAGGACTCTGGTCACTGGGCAGACAAATGATAGAATATCTATTTTTCTAATAAAGCCAAATAAGGACCAATGGTAGCCCACTTTTTCCATGGTGAAGACCACAGATGTGGAAGTACAACACTCTGAATTAGTCACATTAGTAGCCACAGAAGCATAGAACCAAATGGCAGAGAGAAATGCTCTGAGAGCTTACCTACCCTCATCTCATTCTTGATTTCTTCCTCATTTCTTCTTGGCAAAATCAAATAGTACCACAAAAAGAATACCGCTTAATCATAAACATGTATGACTCTGCTGGACTCAGTCACACTATTTAAGACTGCAAGCATACATTAAGACTAAGAGTCAATTTAATGTATTGTTTCTAGTGCATTTTTCCTCGCCAAGAATAAGAATAAAACAGAAGGTGAGAAATAATAAAACTAGGAGACTGAAGCACATAATGCAAAATACGTACAAATCTACATATAATCCTAATATGCTGAGAGAACTTCTTAATGAAAATGATTTCATTCTGAGTTGCTGCTAGTTTGATGCAAATGCAGTATGTACCATGGCCCACAAGCCCATGGTTTCATGTAGGTAGAGTATAATGATGAGAAGTTATTCTTTGTTAAGATTTATATCTCAAAGTCAAGCATGCCTTGGTGGCAACAATCATTATTCTCAATGCAGGTAATTCAAACCAAGGAAAAGACATTGTGGAAAAATACAAAATATTTACTCTGCCTAATGTAGCAACTCCTACTGCAAAACATATATGCTGCATATTTATGAGTTGTAGCCCACAGTTGTGGAAAATTCACTACAGAATAAAACCAAATACTGCATGATACATTTAGTATACAGCATGCCGTTTCTGCTCAGTACAAGAAAAATCTACTATGCAGCACCCAGCAGACACTAGGACTAACGGCCTGATAGCAGCAATGTGGCAGGTTGTTCTTTTTTTTTTTCTCCTCCAAAATAAAAATTAGAATAGTAGCATCGTTGAATATCCCAATTAAAACCCAGTCCAATTCAAAATTCATCTTCAGAGCTGTCGGCTAAGAGCATTACTCGATCTTGCATGCTGTTGAATTCTCTCTGCTAGAGAAAGAAAACAGAAAAGCATTAAACGCTTCCTGCTGCAGAGCAAAGCTGAGAAACAGGCCCCCTTTAAAAGACACGCTAACAAGTGCAGCCGAGGCAGGAGCTACAGCAGCTCATCCAGACCACTGGGCACGTCAATACCGCTCGAGCATCATTAAACTCCGTGTGCTTTATTAAGTAAATTAGATAAGCAAAGAATGTTCTGAAACTGATTAGGTTTTGCTATTGTTGGTTCCATACCTTTCTTTTATGCCTTTTGAAACCATTTCTCCTTCGGCGATTCATAACCTTAATGCTGTAGAGGGCTCCCAAGATGAACAAGGCTCCAGCTATCCCAACCCCTACAGGCACCAGCATCCCAGACATGTAACCAGCCTGCAGAGAAAAGGAAACACACATTAGGATGCTAAACAGAGCACTGCCCTGGGTTTCTCATTTCTGCTGGATGGCAGCAGGCTTTTAGACACTTTGAATTATCCCGTCTGCTTTGTTATAAGATAAAACTAAACCTAAAATACAGTAACTTTTTAGGGAGAAGGCAACAGAGAGAGAGGTAGGCCTATTTTGGGGATATTTCAAATACATAGAAGCACAGAAATAAATCAACCAGACCTAGTGGCACTTCCAGCCACTAGCTTATGCACATTTGTCAACATCAGGTTCTGATGACAGAAATATAATTTGTATTAAAGATGGATGAAGTAAGCCTCTGAGAATGCCAGGACTACTAAAATGCTATAAATTGGAAATATCAGCCAGAGTCAGGCTTAAAGCAGGTCAAAGTGTCCTCTGAAATACTGTATTTGCTGGGGGGTAAAAAGAGGGCCTTGACAGTAGTGGTCCTCTCTTCTCCCTCTCTCTGTCTGTCTTAGCTGCATTACAGTAAGAGAAGAAAGATGAAAATGCTTGCGAGTAAAAGGGGAGGGGCGAGTAAAAAGGAAGAAAAGGGCCTGCAAAGGCAAGGGGAGGAATGTTAGATGTTGGAGCAAAGGCAGAAAAGACAAGGACAAGGAGAGAGTGTGCATACAAAATGGATGGAGTGATTTCTGTGAATGGAATCTCCTTCCCAATAGACAAGACAAAGTTGGAGGGTGGGAGGGAATTCTGAATGTCCCATCCCCAAAGAAAGGAAGTGACAGAGAAGGACACAAAGATGACAACCAACAACACAATACCTCCAAAAGGTCCTGGAAGTGTCAAATTCATCTATGTCTCCAGTGTCTCCAAGGTGTCACTATGGATACTTTGGTCCTCAGAGAGCAGGATGATCCCTGGACTTGAGTAAGTACCTCAGGACCTACCCAAACTTAGGGCAAGGCCATTGTACTCAGAGTGATCCCTACACCTTGGTCAATAAGACTCCTATGGGCTAACAGGGTATGTACTAACCTACAGCCCTTTCATGGGGGAACACAGGTAATGGTTTACCTCCCAAGAAACCCCTCCTAGAAGCCTACCCATATAAAATACATAAACAATTAAAATTGTTCATAAGTCTATTCATTTATATGACTATCTTTTAAATTTCTAATACAGCACAAACTGTTTTTAGTATTTTTCAAAGTGAGCCAAAAACAGAGCAGGACAGAGGATAAAAGTTTTCCTGAAAGTGCTGAAGTATGTAGGCTGTGATGTTTTCCCGACATTTCTAGCAGGACATCCAAGGAATACATCAGACCTTGTGAAACGGCAGCACCTTCCTCTTGTATTCAGCCAGCTCCCTCACTGTTTCTGCCTCCCAGAGTCTTAACTTAGGGCAAAATATGGAAATTTTTCCATTAATTTGAGAACAATACCACTGTTCCTCAGCATACTAAGTATTTTTCCCCAAGAAACAAAGCCTAGTCATTTTTCAATAAATTAATATGCTTTGTAGAAGCCCAAACTTTTTCTAAAGTTCTTCCAAATCTACTTAAGGCTTATAAAAACTCTGTAATTTTCCATGTGGGAAAATACTGAACAACAGCAAAGCATTGGTGCTCACACAAGAACTGTGAATTATTTTTAATTACTATTCCCAGTTTATGGAAACACATACATGCTGAAATATGATAACCTTTAAGCCCAGATGATTAGGCTTTTCATGCACAGTAACATTTGAACTTTTGGAAGGTCAATGTGATCAGCCTCTGTGGAGGTCTCCCCATACTCTGTAACTTAATCCCATGCCAACAACATTGGTATTCTCAAATATGTCACCATTTCCGCATTTCTCATTGACACACTTAAGCCTTTTACTTATGGAGCTTTATTTTTTCAAATTGACATATATATTTGTAAATTGACATACAAAACTGTACGTACTCATCATGTACAACATGATGTTTTAAAGTATACTTTCATTGTGGAATGGTTAAATTTGGCTAGAGCTCTCAATTATGTAGATTTCACAAAAATTCAGTTACATCTCTCTTTTTTGTCTCCTCGATTTTTTTTTTCTTTTTGGGGGGCATCTGCCTTGCTTTGAAATTACAAGTAAATTACAAGATGGGAGCAAAGCAACATACCATCTTAAGATGTAATTTAACTATTTTTCTTTCTAAACTGACTAAGGGAAAATAAGCTCTTCTGTTAGAATTGCTCATGGCTTGATTTCTTCAGCAATGAAAAGAAATAAGACAACATGCACACAGTTTTAAGTTATAAATTCTGCCTAATACTTTTTCTCTGTTCCAAATTATTGCATATACACGTGCCCCGAGGACACCCTGAGAAAGACACAATTGCACCAATGTATTATTCCAACTCAGAATGTATAACCTGAATCGAATCATGAGGAAACATCCAACAAACTGAAAGTATATTCTGTTTTTCAAAAAGACTATATTCTTTAACAATGTTCATGTCATAAAAGATAAATGATGGCTATAAAAATGTTACAAATTAAAGGAAATTACAGAAACATGACAACTAAATGTGTTACATAATCCTAGAGTGGATTCTTTAAGAGAGGAGAAAAAAATGCTCTTATAAAGGATATTTTGGGTTTGTTGAAAAAACTGAAATATGAATGCTAGATTCCATGAAAGTATTATATCGATATTGAATATACTCCAACTAATAACTGCACAAAGATCTGCTTAAAATATACCCTCATTCTTAGGAAATATACACTGAAGTATATAAGGGTAAACAGGCCACAACACATGCAACTCATCCTTAAATAGTTCAGGAAAAAAGAGGAGAACGTGGCAGCAAATGATAAAGCACATGGGGTAAAATGCGAACAACACGCGCATCCAGGTAAAGGTGTAGGAATGTTCTTTGTACCATTCTTACTCTTGTATCTCATCTGTAAATTTTAAATTATTTCCAAATAAAGTTTTAAATTTTAAAGTAAATTATAAGTCAAAATATTGCTAAATATACTTGTTTTTGTTAGGCTTTGAAGTTTTGTTTGTTTGAAGTCAATGAGAAAGGTATCCTTCCTTCTTAGGATGACATATTTGTTCAGAACCTCTGTCATCAAGAAAGCCATAGGAAACCAAATGATATGCTTTACTGCCTAAAATCTGCAGAACTGAGACAGCATCCTTACGATTTCTGTGCAATGGTTGTTCTCAAACTCCAGCATGCATCAGGATCACCTGCGAGACTTGCTAAAATGCAGACTGTTGGGCCCCATTCCCAGAGTTCCTGGGAGGTAGGTCTACGGTGGAGTCTGAGAATTTGCATATCCAACAAGCTCCAGGTGATGCTGATGCTGCTGGTCCAGACCATACATTGAGAATTGCTGCTATAAAGTATAGTCTAGGCCATTCATTTTCTGGATGGTTTCCTTAAGCTAGAAGAAATATATTGGTTTTATTGATGTAACAACAGGCCTGGTCTTTATTACACAATTAAAATTGTTACGCATCTTCAGTTTTGAAAAGCAATTTAGATGCTGAAAAGATACACTAATGAGTAGCCAAGTTAAAACTTGCCTAACAAGGATCACCGACTTGAACACTTAGCCAAGAGGACAATTAATGATGGAATTAATACAGGAACTGTCCTTCAATATCCATTCTTTTCTTCTTCTATAGTAAAAGAGCCTCCAGTTTGGGAGTGGGCACAAAATAAAGATGACTTCTTGCCTACTGGGAAGCTGGGTACAACCATGTGGTAAGTTTCACCAAGAAGATGATATGTCAGTGGCATAAGAAAATTTCAAGATATGTTCTATAAAAGGGGAGCAGAGCCCTTATTCTTCCCTTTAAGAATGACAGAGTGCTTTTATTCTCCCTTTTAAAAAGAAAGGGGTATCATCAGCCTCCCCTTTTTCCTCCTTCCTCTGGCTAGAATATGCACATAGCTAAGTCAGAAGTGCCATCCAGGATCATGAGGTGACCGCGGGGATGAAGGTCACAAATGGTGGAGTATCAAATAGAAGAAGCTTGGGCCCCTGTCACTGCGTCACTCCCCACTAACCTGTGACTATCTCAAACTTAAAAACAGGAGACAATAGGGGCCAGACACAGTAGCTCATGCCTGTAATCCCAGCACTTTGGGAGGCTGAGGTGAGCAGGTCAGATAAGGCCAGGAGTTCAAAACCAACCTGGCCAACATGGTGAAACCTTGTCTCTACTAAAAATACAAAAATTAACTGGGCATAGTGGTACATGTCTATAATCCCAGCTACTCAGGAGGCTGAGGCATGAGAATCACTTGAACCTGGGAGGTGGAAGTTGCAGTGAGCCAAGATCACTGCACTCCAGCCTAGGTGACAGAGCTAGACTCTGCCAAAAAAAAAAAAAAAAAAGAGAGAGAGAGAGATAACAAACTTCTATCTTGGCTAAGCTATTGTCATTGGGAGTGGGGGTGGATTTTCTGTCATTCACAGCTGATCTTAATCTTAATATAGAAAGACTAAACTACAATAACAAAAGGAACAATTCAGAACTTTTGAAAACACCACCCTTTCTACAATCCAGCTAACCAACAGAGATTCAGTACTGAAACAATTAAATGAAGCTAACCTGACAGAGTGTCCTGGCTTGCCTGAAGAGCCAGGTTAGGCATGTAGTTTAGTTTTCAGTTCTAAGGGATTCTGTGACTTTCATCAAAGAGACAACAGCTTCGTACTCAAATAGTTTCTGAAGATAATGACTAACAAGACTTTAATAGATGACGGAGGGATAGATGGATGAACGGATGGATGGACAAATAGAGAGTGAGGAAGATATATGTATATATGTGTGTAAGATCTATGTACACGTATCTTCTCAAACTTCAGCATGCACCAGGATCACCTGTAAGACTTGTTAAAGGAAGATATATGTACATATGTGTGTATATACATATAAAATATACATATCAAATTAGCATGTAATCGCTCAAGCATGGACGAAGGCAGGGAATATGGGGAAGATTTAAACGAGTCCCTCCAAGAGTCAAAGATGAAGAGATAGGCATACATGACAGTCACCACTGGAATCCAAAATTTGCTTCCTACAATTTTTTAATTAAAATATACTGAAAAAAAATACTACAGAAGAAAGTGATGAGAAAGCTTGAAAAACTTCAAAATAAGCCAGAAAACTAGGGGTCACACACAAAATTATTTCTCTTGATAAAAAGGAGCAAGAAAAAGGTACCAAGATTTTGAGACAAGGTAAGAATAAAGGGTTCATAGGAATAAAAATAGACAGCCTTTCTCTAAAGCTGCACAGATTATTTTAAGGGAATGGTAAAGCTATACATACATGCAGATAAGAAATTTAACAATACCAAATTTCAAAACAGGTTACCCGACAAAATTTATTTTCTTAAGACTTTTTTTTTTGGGGGGGTCTCTTTGTTAAATAACTCAGGATACTTTCTATGGAAACAATGATATATGAATTCCTAGGTTAACATAACAAATCCTGTTTAATTTTCATTGCATCATATTTTTCCCTGAAAAATAACAGGAAACACTACCTATGTAAATATATCCAGTTCTAAACTTTCGAAGTTTTCTTCCCCTCCAGTGTTTCTCAGTCCATCTGATCGCAGCCCACCTCTCCTCACAATTGGACCCATTACAAATACCAAAACAGCCTCCATTGACCTCAACAGGCTTAAAATTTTTCAATGTCACTTTTAATTTATATGAACATAAAATAGTCTCATTCTCAAACATTATCTGTGCTAAATTTTACTTAGAAACAGAAATAATAAGGAGAATTAATACAATTATATAAATTTATTTGCAATTGAATGTATTCTTTAATATTAAGCTGTAGTAAAATAATATTAATAATTCAAATATGAGGGAAATTGACTGCAGGTAATAAAAAAGATATGGAATGCCATCAATAGAAATATATTGAGACTGGTGAACTGAAGGTAACTCAGTATCTGACCACTGAAAAGATTTCCATTTAGCCGAAATCCCAATGAAATCTGAGCTGGGCTGTAATAATGGGATCCGACACAGGCTACAACAAGGAATTCAGGACTCCATCTATATCTTTATGAGTAATTTGGTTTAAAATTACCAAGTAACCAAAAGCAAAGACTTGGAGAGGGTTGAAAATCAAAAGAAAATAAACAATATCAACCTGGAAGTTAACGTTGTCAATCACTATGTAGATGGCAGAATTAATGCAAAAAAAGAAAATCTTTTTCTATAGTTGGCCATTCCAGACAGGTCAGCTCATCAATACCTAGTAAGCAGCAGCACTGTGATAAACTGCACACCTAGAGCGTCCCATATTGGAGAGAAAAAAAAAAAAAAAAGCCAGAAGGAATGGAATTACAATCCTGAAATTCCCCGAAAAGAAACTTCACCTTGATATGTCAATTATTCTGTTGAGCATATCAAACAAGGTAAATTCTTATACTTTTATATGAGTGAATGGTACTCCAAAGAATAAGGTGTCTCCTGTGTTCCAAAAGAAGGGATTTAAAGGGAAGGCCTTCTTTTTTGCAGGGTACTGCAAGCGGCCCTGAATCTTTAGATAGATGACCAGAATCAGAATAGTAAACTAAAGCTCCACTACTCTGAAGATCTTTTGCTTAACAAAGCTATACGCCCCTAAAAATAAATCCAATGGAAGAAAATACTTTTCTTACCTTGTCTTTTAATTTTTCCATCCAGCTTCTCACTAGAAAAAAAAAAGATAATAAAATATAAATAACCATTTTTACTTATATTTCATGGTATTTAGTTAATTTGACAAATTGAAGAGTTTTTTTGTATTAAACACAGTAAAAGGATTAACAGTATAACATAATGACAATAATGGTCTTGTTTTTATTTCTACTTATTTAGAAATGCAACGGAGAGCACAAACATCCCTCATATCATTATTAGATAAATGGAGAATATTTTTGTTTGCTAAATGTTTTTTCTATTATTATTGAATGATTGGTGGCGAGGTGTGGGCAAAATGAAAATCATCTTTAAAATATCAAGTTCATTTATTCTCTGACACTTTTTCTTTGGCTTTATTCCTCATCTTTCTCAGTTTGTAAGCTCAGTGGGAATGCTGCACTTGAATCAATATCAGAGGGCAGAGATTAAGGTAGGAAGGGAAAATAAGCAAGCCCAGGCTGCCCAGAGCTGGCTCCAAAGAGAAGCAGTTGCAATCATATTTGAAGAAGCAAGGATTGGACAAAAGGCAAGAACAAGAAGTATTTCTGAAAGACATATAACTTGTGAACGGTACCATTCTATAGCAATACAACCACTATGAAAAATAAAAGCAATGACCAAGTATTATTTACAAAGCCAACTGAAAAAGGCTGATCAACTATGAAATTGTATGTAGACCATAGTTACAGCCATTTGGGAATACATAAATAAGCCAAGAGTAGAAGGAAGCATCAATTTCATTTTTGAAATAAGTGTTAGAATGGCCATGTTAAGGTTGGTTTGAGTTTGTTGGCGGTTTTTTTTGTTTTGTTTTGTTTTTCACCCTTAATTACCTTTCAAAGTCATAATAATGTTTCAACATTGAATGAAGATTTACTTGTAAAAGCATCAGAAAGGAGGAAGAAAAGACAAATATATTCTCATTTTACCTTTATTATCAAACAAAAGAAGTAAGTGTAAAAAGACTTTTAAGATTTCCTGGAATTTTCTCTGCTTTTGAGAAGCTTCAACAGATAGGAAGGAAGGAAGTAGAGTGGAAAACTTTTCTTATGAAGAGTCAGATAGTTAATATCTCAGGTTTTGCAGAGTGTATAGTCTCTGTCACAACTGTTCAATTCTGTTCTTGTATAACACAAAAGTGGCCGTAGACGACACATAAATAAATAGGTTCAGCTATGCTCCAATAACCTTTATTTATGGATATTAAAATTTGAATTTCGTGTAACCTTCAAATGTCATAAATACTTTTCTTTTCATTTTTTTCAACCCTATTAAAATGTAAAAAGCATTCTTTGCTCAGGGGCCACACAAAACCAGGCAGCAGGCTACATATGGGCCATGGACTATAATTTGCTGGCCCCTGGCATAGATATACTTTAACCAAGAAGTCGGTGCCTCCATTTACAATCTGACTCTAGCAATAATATATCTGAAAATACTGATGATGGCTGGTGTGCACACAGCTCCAGCCCTTACAAAGCATGACACATGCATTGCATCACTTGAACAGTAAACCAATGACAAACATGAGAGGTCAGATTATGCTCAGGGAAAAGATGAGGAAACTGGGGCTCAAGAGAAGCTAAGAGACTTGTTCATGGTTAACCAGTGAGTAAAGAGTCATTGGGGCCAAGCACGGTGGCTCACACCTGTAATCCCAGCACTTTGGGAGGCCGAGGTAAGTGGAGTTTGAGACCAGCCCAACCAACATGGTGAAACCCCGTCTCTACTAAAAATACAAAAAATTTAGCAAGATGTGGTGGCAGTCACCTGTAATCCCAGCTACTCAGGAGGCTGAGGTAGGAGAATCATTTGAACCTGGAAGGCAGAGGTTGCAGTGAGCCAACATCACACAGCCTGGGCAACAAAGCAAGACTCCATCTCAAAAAAAAAAAAAAAAAAGAAAGTCATTGGAACTCAAACCTAATTTTAAAAACCCAGGAGTAAGACTTTTGAACTACCGATTTCTTTTAGTGATACTACCACTGTTCTCCTTCAAGTTGAAAATGTGAGGATACCTTTGACCCTTCTACCTCCCTCGGGTCCTGGCTTTAATCTCTCATGCAGAGCCCTTGTCAAGACCTCTCTCTTGTCCTTCCCTCCTAGCTCCCTCTGTCTCAAAGGGATTCAGACAAAGATGGTGGTGATCAATCAGGATAAGAGCAGGGTCATGGGGAGATCAAAAGAAGCAAGTCTAGGAACCTCTAGAATAAGGCCAGGGGTTAGTGATTCTAGGAGTGGTTCCACAGAGAAGTAAGATCCATCACTGATCCACTGAGTGAATTTGGAGAAACTCTGGACCCACAGTTTCCTTACATAGAGAGATGGCAACATCTGTCTTGCAAGATTGTTGTGAAGATTAGAAATAACACATGCAAAGTGTTTAGTATAGAAATCTAGGGCAGGAGGGGAAGAAAGGTAAGTAAAATATGAGTATTTTGTAAATACATCTCACTTAAGCCCATGACATATATTTAAACAGAAGCAAGATAATGTTTCCAATTCATTCATTCAACAAATATTATGTACATTGTGTTTGATCAGGCATTACGCTCTAAAGTCAGTAGAAGTTATAAAACTAATTCCACTGAGAAAGGGGTTAGGCCACCAAGTCTATGATGAGAAGTGGATGACAAGCAGCAATGTAGGGACTGAAAGAGTGAAGAACAGAGCAGGAAAGCCAGTTGCTAGAGTGCAAGGCAGAACCCACCAACCTTTGAAGCAAGATGCTTGCAATCAGGGACTCACTTGGGTATTATACAACAAATAGGGCAAATCAAAAGAGAGGTGGAGGCAGGAAAGTTAATATGAGTACCTAGTGGAGGAGGCAAGATGGTGCAGGATAGGGATAGCCTGGAGAAGAGGAAAAGGAGGCAAAGACCAACCCAGGGTCCAAGGCACTGATAGGCTTGTGTACTGTAGGAAACTCATCGCCAAGAGAAGTATTTTAACTTAGGCCTTATCAACCCAGGCTTCACTGGTAAACTGTCCACATCTTAGGTTCTTAGAGTAAATTTCACAGTCCTACTTTGGATGATTATCTAATGAAGTAATTCTCCACTGAAGGCAAGAAGGCACATCAGTGCAAGATGTTTACATGTGCACAGATATCTGAAGGAGCACGTTCCTTTGATCTAGTTCAGCAATTCATAACACAGAGTGGGAAAGGCAGGCAAAATATTCTCGGCTGGTGAGAGAGGATAGTGAGAAACTATTCTGGTGGGCATAGGTCTAAAAAGGTTGAGGAAACACTATTCTTAGACTGTGAGCTTGATGATGTTTCCCCATCTAAGAACACGAGATCCTGGAGGGCCATGCCTTGTGCTTCTCAGGTATCCGCCAAGGCCCTCTGCATAATATTAAACACTCAGGTGCTTAATACGTATTTTTTCTTCTTTCAGAAAATATTTATTTAAGTGAGTTCACAATCTTTGAGTAAGCATGATTCTCATTCATGAGGATCCTGTAAACAGTTTTCAGCAAAACATTCAAGTCAAAATAAATATAAATTTTATGCAATGAACGTTTTAAAACTTAAGGGGTAGAAAACGATAAGAGAATGCAATGCAAGAAGAAAGAAAATTATAGAGAAATACTTTTGTTAAAAAAAAAAAAGATGATGGCCAGACACACTGGCACATGCTTGTAATTCCAGCACTTTGGGAGGCCAAGGCAGGCAGATTGCTTGAGACCAGTCTAGGCAACATAGCGAGACTCCTGTCTCTACAGAAAAAAAAAAAAAAAAAAAAATTAAATTTAAATTTAAAAAAATTTAAAGATCGTTATTTGTAAACAGGAAAACTGACAACTGCAATTTTTAAAAAATAGAGAAACCTCACAGTAATTAAAGAAGTATGAACAGATACAGCTTTTCAGAGCTACAGAGGGGGAGGGGAGATTTGCAATCTATATCAAAAGCTTTATTAAGGTTAAAATGTTTTATACAAAGCTCCAGTTATAGAAGACATGTATCTTAAACAATCATGAATATTCACAAAAATTTTGTTTAAATCATGTTCACAAAATATTTATACTAGAAAGGAGCATGTAAACAATATTAATATCCAACAAGACAGGATTGGTTTAAACACTCAAGGGAAAACAAAACCTTAAGTTATGTCTACAGAGTATTATATGAAAATAAAATTATTTTTAAAATACTTAAAGGCAAGATGTTGTTCAACTTATATATTGCAAAGGAAAAAAATAGTGTAGTATAATGTGAGCCTCAGTTTGTAGATAAAAAATATTATGTGTAAAATTTGAACAATGCACATCAAAATGTTAACTGAATTAATCAATTCGGTTGACTGATTAATTGGGAGGTAGAATTATGGGTGATTTTTCTTTTATCCTCTGTATTTTTAGGATTTAGCAAATCACAATTTCTCACTACTTTTAAATTAAGAAAAAAGCATATTTTACAACAAAACCCCCCAAATTTCCATAAACCTTTGCAAATTAAAGTTGATAGTAGATTGCTGATAGTGAACACAAGAAGTTACAGCCCTTCCACTTGGCTCACAGCTCAGCCCACAGCTACAGATTCACTCTAATCCCACTGTTTTGTTATCTTTCTTGAAATTTTGTTTAATGCAAATCCAAGAGCACAGTGCTATAATAAGGCCTCTGGTCTCCTTCTAGTAGAGAGAAAGGTACACAGAAAAGAAAGTAGGCATGAATGAAGGTCATATATAACAAGCCCACAGCTAATATTATACTCATTGGTGAAAAGTTGAGGGCTTTTCCTCTAAGATAAGGAACACGACAAGGATGCCCACTCTTGTCACTTATATTCAACTTAGAAGTGGAAGTCCTGGCCAGAGCAAATAGGTAAGAGAACAAAATAAAAGCCATCCGAATTATAAAGGAGGAACTTTGGCCAGGCACAGTGGCTAACACCTGTAATCCCAGCACTCCAGGAGGCTGAGGCAGGCAGCTCACTTGAGCCCAGGAGTTCAAGACCGGCCTGGGCAACATAGCAAAACCTTGTCTCTACAAAAAGTATAA